GTGATCCAGATTATATGATATGGACGAGATATATTAGCACTCATGATCAAGATTATATGATATTGACGAGATAGCTCAGTACTCGTAATCCAGATTATATGATATGGACGGGATATCTCAGTACTTCTGATCCAAATTATATAATATGGACGAGATATCTTAGCACTCGTGATCCAGATTATATGATATGGACGAGATATCTTAGCCCTCGTGATCCAGATTATATGATATGGACGAGATATATTAGCACTCGTTATCAAGATTATATGATATTGACGAGATAGCTCAGTACTCGTGATCCAAATTATATAATATGGACGAGATATCTCAGTATTTGTGATCCAGATTATATAATATGGACGTGATATCTTAGCACTCGTGATCCAGATTATATAATATAGACGAGATATCTCAGTACTCGTGATCCAGATTATATGATATGGACGAGATATCCTAGCACTCGTGATCCAGATTATATAATATGGACGAGATATCTTAGCACTCGTGATCAAGATTTTATGATATGGACGAGATATATTAGCACTCGTGATCCAGATTATATGATATGGACGAGATATATTAGCACTCGTAATCTATATGTATATATGATAGGGAAGAGATGTCTAAGCGCTCGTGTTCTAGATATATTTAAATAATATTGTAATGATAGAAATCTTGCAGTGACACTGATCAGAAAAAAAATAAACTCATGAAAATGATATTGGCTCACGAATTTAGAAAGATTCCAGAAAATGATCTTGAGCTACGCATTATCAAAAATAAACAAAAATGTTAACATCGTAAAACAGACAGATAAAATGCGAACGTTTTAGCCGATTTCTTCCTAGTCGTGTTCACAATAATCGTATGATACACTTCCGGTGTTTGAAGAAGCTGTTGGCAAGTTAAAATATATATAAGATTGAAAAAATTAAAACTAAGAGAGCGTGAAGCTCTCCATCCCAGGCCCAACATGACACATACTTTTGTACTTAAGGAAGTAGGCGACAGCCTGTGCCACCCACTTACGTCCAGAAGCCCCCATTGGACTAGCAATCCGCAAATACAACAGTTTTGTTGAAAAGGGAGGCGGAAAGGAGCAGTGCAAGAAGACAAAGATCCATACAATCGGTAACCGTCGGCACTTTCCGTAAACGAGAAAGCATTTTCTCGTTTACGGAAAGAGCCGACAGTTCCCGATTGAGATGCAGAACATTTGAGCCTAAACCAATTTGATTTCATCAATGGAAGACCTACAGTACTGCAACTAAAAAATAATCATCAATCGACAGAAAGTTTACATGCAGGCGGAAGTATTAGTATGATATATAGGCTAAAACCTTTTGACAAAGCTCGTCATCGCCATCTCGAACACTAGCTTAATTAGTTCAGCATTCTTAATATGGTTATAAATTTAATTTCATACTCAGAGAGAAGTTTGCCTTCGTTTTTGACATATTGTAATATACCCTGCATCAGATCGGTTACCCTGCAAAGAAGGTATATGTCGGTATTTAGTACTACCAGATATGATGGGTTCGGAGTCCCTCGTGTATTATGTGTTGTTTGTATGTATGTACCCGATGAATAAAATAACACGTGTTATGATGGTGCGGCATTTAAAGAACAAACCCCAATATATTACACATAACACTTCAAAAATGTTCTAACAGGTAGATTAAATACCAAGGTCAAACCCTAACTTAGATCTTGCAATGCATTTATATATAGTAACAGCTCATTTCGTACGTATAACTCCTCGTGTATCAGGAGTTACGAATTACCTGGAAATGTTTTCCTAACCGTGGAGTTTTTATATGTAAATGACTTAAATTCCCATAGCGCGGAGTGGCGGTACATAAAAGGATTGGTATATATAATTACGTAATTGAGTGTTGTTATCTTTCCGGGACAGGCCTTTTTTATACATATATAGTGACAATGCAGCGCATTTAGATATGCATATGCATCTGAAAAATCAGGCCACTACTTAAAAAACCCAGCACTTTGGTTAAAACGATTTTGACATTTGAAATTGACCACGAAACCATCCGAATATCTTAAAACTTAATAAGGTGCGCCAGTCTTGCTGCATTAAAAATACATTTCGCATAGCATTCGTTTTATACAATACAAATTACAGTAAAGCCGTTCCTATACGTTTGTGTGCCGAGGTGTGACCGTCGGCTACCGAAAACGTGTGAGTCATGCGCGCGGCGTGCCAGTTTACAGAAGATGAGTAAAATATCGATATCATTTTTTTCCCCCTAAAATTAATATTAATATACATTATTGCCTTTTTTTGTAGGGAAACATCAATCTTTGTTTCTACGAGATTAACCATGTCACACTTGTTACCCAAGTGACGCTTGATTCATCGAGGTAAACAAACAATGATGTTTCCCTACATAAAGGACATTCACTGTTTTATAACTGCCATTCCGGATTGATCGTATCAACATTTCTTTGAAGTTCGGGATACTACCGTGATTGTGTACGTGACAAAAGCCGTTTCCCCTCAGGTTAACAGCAGTTGAACTGACCAAATGTGTATACATTGTGTAGTTTGAACCAAATGCACTATGTCCTTTAGAGTTGAGGCTAATTTTGCTATTTTCCTTTATCATTGACACAGTCAGTCGTGCGTGCCGCACGTCTAATCGGTTCGTCATGACAGAGGGACAGATTGTCGGTGAATTAAAACAAGAAGCTTATGGGCCGAAACGGTCAACTGAGTCCTACAGTATTAATTTTTGTTGTTGAAATATGAAGTGGAGATAATGATGTCAATCATCTCTACCAAAATTTGAGTAAAAATAGTTAAATATAACGCTAAGTTAAGTTTGTCAGGACAATGAGTTGATCAGGCGTATTAGAACTTGATGTTAAGTTTTAAATAGTTTTTTTCCAAAATGGCTTTTCAAAATGGCGGCCGTGGCGGCCATATTGGATTTCTGATCGACCTGAAAAGTATCTACACTTTTTCAGGTATATGAGTCGATCATTCCTACCAAGTTTCAGTTAAATCGGCCCAATAGAACTTGACTTTAAGTTTGTAATAGTTTTTCAAACTTGCTGCCGTGGTGGCCATAATGGATTTTTGATCGACCCGAAAAATAACAACAAATTTGTCAGGACCATGAGTTGATCATTCATACCAAGTTTCAGTTAAATCGGCCCAGTAGAACTTGACTTTAAGTTTGAAATAGTTTTTCAAAATGGCCGCCGTGGCGGCCATATTGGATTTTCGATCGACCCAAAAAAAACAACACTTTGTCAGGACCATGAGTCTATCATTCCTACCAAGTTTCAGTTCAATAGGCCGAGTTAAACTTGACTTTTAGTTTAAAATAGTTTTTCAAAATGGCTGCCGTGGTGGCCATATTAGATTTTTGATCGACCCGAGAAATACCAACACTTTGTCAGGACCATGAGTCGATCGATCCTACCAAGTTTCAGTTAAATCGGCCCAGTAGTACTTGACTTTAAGTTTGAAATAGTTTTTCAAACTGGCTGCCGTGGTGGCCATACTGGATTTTTGATTGACCCGAAAAATAACAACACTTTGTCAGGACCATGAGTTGATCATTCATACTAAGTGTCAGTTAAATCGGCCAAGTAAAACTTGACTTTAAGTTTGAAATAGTTTTTTAAAATGGCGGCTGTGGCGGCCATATTGGATTTCTGATCGACCCGAATGATAACGACACTTGTTCAGGGAGTAGTCAGTAACATTCCCACAAAGTATCAATGAAATCCCTTCGACAGTATTTCAACTGAAGTTGAAAAAATGTTAACGGACGACGACGGACGAAGACAAATAGCTCAGGTGACCTAAAAACGTTATACGTAGTGCTTTTTATGCATATTATTGGAGGTCATCTGTACACTTACAATTGATTTTAAATAAATTGTATATACTGACACGCAAAAGAAACTCAACCTCCAATTTTCTGTGAATTTTTAATATTTCAGTCAAAAGTTTCATTTAAGTAACATAGCCAATTAAAGATACACATCTGTTCTATTGGATAAATCACTTTGGCAACACAACAGTCAAGACTGAAGTATTGGAATAACCCCGTTAGCATTTGATGCTGCTCGAATTCTGCGATACATAGAGTTGGTAGGACGGTTTATTTGTGCCATAGGGATGTATTGTCACTCTTCCAAAAGCGCCTAGTGCAGAGCGGGTAGATTCTCTGGTGGATTTGGACGCGTTCGAATGCGTCGATCCAACATGTCCCACACGTGCTCTATTGGCGAGAGGTCGGGACTGTATGGGGGCCAAGGTAACGTGTCGACAATGTTTTGGCGAAGGTAGTCCAGGAAAACGGCACGACGACAGATTGTTTTGTCACCGCGGTTGGAATAGCGTCAGTGGTAATTGATTGTAGCTTTTTCTATATCCTACCCCATATCAACCTCTTTATATAGAGAATAATACATGCCTTTTTCCATATCACACCCAGTATCAACCCTCGACCAATATCAGCCCTCGGGCCTTCGGCCCTTGGGCTGATATTGCAGTCCCTGGTTGATGCTGGGTGTGATATGGAAAAAGGCGTGGTTTATTCTGTTTATTACATACTTACTAATAAAAACTCCTATCTTATGATTTATTTATATTTTTGAAATATTGAAAAACGATTTTGTTTCCAAAAGGGGTGTGATATGGGTTTTGCGGGCGGATACGGGTTTTGGGGTGTGATTCGGCGGGGGCTGATACGGGTTTTGGGGTGTGATACGGCGAGGGCTGATATTGGTTAGAGCAATTGTGTCGTATCGCACATACAAAAAACCCGTATGATAAAATACCAAAACATGTCACCATTCAGAAAACCTTTCTGTGCTGGGTGACCAGGTACTTGTTATTGCTTGTACATATAGGGTAATATGGCTCTTGCAGGACACATATGAAACAGGTAGGGAACCGCAAATGCACAGCTAGCAAAAACGGCACATACCGCAAACAAGTTCATGGACAAAGCTCTACTTACTTTCGAGTCCCTCGCTGCCAGAGCCGTACAACGCCTTTCTCCTCTGTCTTCCGACCGACTTCAGGTTCTGTGTAGACATAGGCGAGTTGGCCACCATACACAGTTTCATTTATGAGACCCATTTTTCGGTGCGCACTGATGCGGTCATATACCTGTGTCATTATTATTGGTCAGCATTGTCTGGCTATTTTAAATGGCATGTTGACCACGACCTGCACTCGGAGCTTCTCGTAACGGGGCGTTGTCCACGAGTTGTGTTTTATCCGACTTATGGTGTGTAGTCTTCTTTATATATATATAGCCCCAACCAGGAAGTAATTGCACGGGTGACCGCCCACGCGACGAGGATCGTGTACATTATAACGCGTCTGTTAACTGTTTCACCAGAAACGGTAAAGTACAAAATATTTCAATTGCCTGGCCTTTGGCCTTTTGAGAGGGGATTGAACCCGTTTTAGCAGCTAGAATAAATAACCAGGTCTGAAATCACCGAATTCAAAACACTGAACAAAATGACACGCATACATACACATAAACACCACAAACCACCCATACAATACATTAGCAGAGAGTCTCTTTCATCGTCAGATCTAGATGTCTATATTCTGCCTTGAAAGCTAAGTATAGAGCGTACTGCGTTGTTAATACTCCTAAGAATATCTGATTTCTGAGCATTTGACCTCTGCGTGGAATTTTAAAGGAAACCTGAGATATGTTTTTTGTTGAGAAAAAATGTGCTTTCAGTTGTTCAATACACATATCGGGGGCCTGATTACACATAATTTGCATATTTTAAAGCTTAGGCCTGCAGGTAAAGGCATACTAACGCTTTGTAAAACGCCTGTTGTAGACACTACATGTATACAGCTTATGAAATAAAATAAGGTCCGGTCAGGACACCGTCATTAGTTGAATCAAGTACATTTTAAGTTTCATCAATGCATTATAGACATTCCCAATGTTGCGACCTGAGCAGGATTTTACGAAAAATAATTAATTTCACTTATATGACGTTTGACCTAAAGGTGAAGGTCAAGGTGATACCCGATAATACCAGTCTTCAAAGTGTACTGCCCTGCTTCCCCGCATTGTAACAGATGTCAATATGGTCCGATTTTATCTACAAATCAGTACACGGTGACGGATCATGTGTCTCTGTTGACATTTTCTTTATTTAGAGGAATCATATTTCTGAGTATACTTCAGAAACACGCTTTATATCTAGTCCTAGTTATTGTTCGCGTCTAGACAAAAATACCCGTAATTGACCCATTATTTCCACTATGCAGTAAAGACTAACTTCATAAAGTGTACAGACAGTTAAAGGCGCGTATAGTACACCTTACCGAGTGTGATTTGGAAAATAAATACGAATTTGTATTCAACTAAGATACCCTCCATAGTTGTTTACGGACTGTGACAGAACCATTATTAAAATTATTTTTATAACATGATGTATAGTTAATTTGTTTAAAATTGCATATATAACAAAATCTTAAAGGTTCCTATAGTGTATTTACCTAAACTGCAAAAAAATAGTTGCAGTAATATAAAAAAATAGTTGCAGTAATATTTTTCTTCGATTGTTTATCTATGTTATGTACGGAAACGCATTAAAGTCACTTAGAAAAAAGAATCAATGTCATGTTTTCGTGTTACCAACTCGAAATTTCGATTTACTTTTTTTTTTATCATGAGCGTGCGTGGTCAATACAGGTATATCGGTTTTGCCTGAAGCGAAAGCCCCTCTAGAAGGGTTCAAGTATATGCATCAGATGGAAATCTAGAAGCCCTTTTGCAATCTTGGGCATTTTATAATGTATTGAAGCTTAATAATTTAATACAGTTTGGTGTACTGTGGATTTTATTTAAACTAGATTCCGTCCAATCCGGATCTGTAAACCGGCCAAATTATTTGGTCTTAAATTCTTTAACATCATTGATTAAACTCCGGACTCTGTAAACCGGCTTTGTTTCCCGGTTTAAGACTTTCTATACAAAATTAAATATACTCTCTGCATCACGTTCTGATCTAGTTCTGTTCACTTTCAACTTCCACTAACAGAAAATATTAGAAAAAGATGATATTCATATGAGATATTCAATTATCGCCATCAGTATGAGCAAAAGAATGTTTATAAAAATAATGTTGCATGGTATCCGAAAAAGTTGAAAATGATTGGTCAATTGTTAACTTTCCTGTCTAGTAATAAGGATTGAACTTGACTAGAACGTGTTGTGATGTCGGTTCACAGAGAGTATATTTATAATGTTAAGAAGGTATTAGACCGGGAAACAGGGCCGGTTTACAGAATGAGTTCGGAGTTTAATCAATAAAGGTGTACAATTAAAAACCAAAACTTTTTGCCGGTTTACACAAAGATCCAGATTGAACAGATTCTGGTTTAAACAGTTATTGTTATATCGAAATTCGGAGTTATTAAGTCGAAATTTCGAGTCAGTAAATCGATTTTTCGAGTGAGTATATTAAAATTGTCGAAATTTCGATTCGAGTTATTATCTTGAAATATCGAGTTATCAAGTCGAAATTTTGAGTTGTAGATCGAAATTTCGAGTTTTAAACAATTTTCTATTTTTCGAAAAAAATGAAAAAGACATGAATATAAACAAAAATCAATCATCGACAATATATCGTATTTTGACCATTTATCCTAAAACACGCGTCGTACAACATAGATACAAATTAATCCTCCTCAATAAATAAAGTTTATTATTATACACGTGATAAGAATGTTATTACAGTGTTGTAAACGTTTCTGTATGTATCCGGTAACGGACATATAGTCAACCTTAGTACGAGTGTACTGAATTCTTTATTCTGGGTCAGCCCCTGTGACTGACTATGGGGTGGTTCCGCTTCGTTGTCTTTTAGCCCGACAGCCTTACAAGGTGGCGTCCAACACAGTAAGATACTCAGTACTTTTACATATGCATAACAGTTTGATGTGTACACATAACAGTTTGATGATTACACATATAAGTTTGATGTTTACACATATAAGTTTGATGTTTACACATAACAGTTTGATGTTTACACGTGTCAGTTTGATGTTTACACGTATAAGTTTGATGATTACACATATCAGTTTGATGATTACACATATCAGTTTGATGTTTACACATATCAGTTTGACATTTACACATATCAGCTTGATGTTTACACATATCAGTTTGATGTTTACACGTGTCAGTTTGATGTTAACACATAACAGTTTGATGATTACACATATCAGTTTGATGTTTACACATAACAGTTTGATGATTACACATATCAGTTTGATGTTTACACATATCAGTTTGATGTTTTCACATATCAGTTTGATGATTACACGTGTCAGTTTGATGTTTACACATATCAGTTTGATGTTAACACATAACAGTTTGATGTTAATACATAACAGTTTGATGTTTACACATATCAATTTGATAATTACACGTGTCAGTTTGATGTTTACACATATCAGTTTGATGTTTACACATATCAGTTTGATGTTTACACATATCAGTTTGCTTTACATGTATGTTAGTTTGATATTTACACATATTTATTTGATGTAAACACATATAAGTTTTATGTATACACATATCAGCTTGATGTTTACACATATCAGTTTGCTATTTACACGTGTCAATTTGATGTTTACATATATCAATTTGATGTTTACATATGTCTGTTTGATTTTTTCTCGTATTTTCGTCTTAAATATTTGATTGATAGTATTGTCAACAGTATTTATGCCTTGTGGTACTGGGTTTGAAAGTGTCCTTTCAAAGTTTGTCGGTCCTTCGACCTATTAACTGAGAACATACTAGTTTTGTGCATAGAATACTGAGATTTTTTATTTCAGGCAATCACATTTTCCTCCTGATAAAGCGACTTGAAGCTCAAAACAAACTTTTGAATTTGCAGTATTTTTTAGAAATAAGCACTGTGTATACCCGTACACCGGATATTGCAGCTATCGAGGCGACACAGACAGCAAGTCGCTGTCCAGTACTATGTGTTTCATCAGTTTTCAGTGTCATATTTCTTAGCTGCATTTGTAGACATTACCATGTTAAAGCGGGATGTTTCTGTGATACGTTGATGTCAAAACAGTTGGTGTTATTGAGAAACATTTTCATTAGATATGAACACATGCTGCCTGGTACCAGTGAATAACAACGTTTATTACCCAATAGTCTATATACATTATAATTAGTCATTTTTGACTGTTTCTGGCTTTTTGTCCAATTTCGGCTGTAGGGGTGAAACAGTCAAAACTGTTTTCCCGGTCAGAGAGAACTATTACCCGGCGCGAATTCGATGCGCAGAAATCCCCCCTCGAGAGCCCCCTTCAAGCGTTTCGGTGACCGCGACTCAGTGTTGAAGCAATGGCAACATTGCATGCAGCATTGATACTAATATTTATTTGGTAATAAAACAATTGTTTCATGGTTATTTTGGGAACAGTCAAAACTATCATCCCGAGATAGGGGAAAGCCTTGGGGAACTGTTTGCCCGAGGCCGCTAGGCCAAGGGCAAACAGTTCCACAGGGCTTCCCCCTACCGAGGGATGATAGTTTTGACTGTTCCCCAAATAGCCATGAAACAATCGCATACTGTTGACGAAAAATTATGATTACAACTGTTAAACATGCCCATAACTACAATTGTTTCCATTAAACACTCAGTGTATTGTATAATAATTCCTGTAACTCTTTAATACCACTCTTTGAGGTTTTATTATTACGAAAAAAACTCAAGCAAGCTTGTGTCAAGAGTAAGGCATGTTGCGTGTTGGTGAACGGCATCCTTTCACCCAAAGACAGTTCGTCCCTGGTTTGTTACGTTCACCCCAAGAGAGTAGTGCCCTAAGACAAGTCGCCCCATTTATGACTCGTAAAGTTTTCGTGGTTTCAAGTTACATTCGATGAGATAATGATAAGTTTTAATTGAATCGATGGACATATTATTAACATATAGAAGTAACGAAAACACATTTCAACTGTCAAAATTTATGATGGCTGCTTGGCGGTCATCTTGTTTTTCCTATCATTTTTTTTTTAATAAAACATGCACAACTACAGACCAAGATGAACATTCGTATGAAATTTGAAGAAGATCCGTCCAGAACTTCATGAAAATTAACGATAACAAGAACAGTTTAAGGACGGACAACGGACCACGGACGAAAGGCTTTTTGAACGGCCCACTATCCGATGATGGTAAGCTAAAAAGTTGACAAATGCAAATCGTTTTTAAACTTGTGACGCACTTGACTTTGTTTGTTTTGACATCAAAGCATTGTCCTTGACACTTGAAATCTTATCCATGCCCAAGTCATCATCTCTCCACTCTGTATTTAGAGTGTTATTCATTCTCATGTGCAGTTCAAAGATGAACTGTAACTTAATCCTACAGAAAGCAATCGGTTATCTCTTTCCGTACCGCCACTCCGGTCCGGATTCCGTACCGGAAGTACTTATTAGAATCGCCCCAGCGCATTTAACAAAATGGCGGATTATTAATGTACTTTTTAGACTAGGTGTAACTGCCGCAGGAATTAAACAGGTAACCGTGAACAAATATTGTTATTGTTTCATGTTCTGGTTCATAGACAAACACTTCTTCATTTTCGCAGCATTATGACTAACTGGCAGCTGATTATGACTGAGAAATCGACATTTGTCTGGCAATAAACGATACTATTCCTTGTATTTAACACAGCGATGTAGTGCAGGTTTCCAATGGGGATTGATTATGGTTACGAATGTGAAGTCGTTGAGTTTTTTTCTAAAAACAAGTAGATTTCATCAAGACTTTTATTAGAATATTCAAATTTACTTCCATAAGTCTCGACAAATATCTGATGATGAATTTACGAGTGTTCGTATCGAATTAAGTTTCCGCCATCTTGTTTACATTTGAGGCACCAAAAGCAAACATCTTGCGGCAAATGCGAAAACAGTAAGTCACATAATAAAAAAGTGTACTCTGCACAAATACAAATATTTCTTCCAAACTGATGGGTTCTGATTTTAGCGACAATTAATTGTTTTTTCGCGACAGTCTCGTGTTTTGTACACGACAACAGGGATGAGACGGCCCTTTATTTTGTCGTCTGTACACGACAACGGGGACCAGGCTGACATATTGTTGTCGTGTGTATACGACAGCGGTACGGAAAGAGTTTTTAATAGTGTAATTTTCTTATTTCTTGATAAAAACGATTCGAATTATGACACAACTTCCCTGAGAAAAACCTAGGGCTGTCACGGTGTTTTACGAAACCCATTAATTATAGTCTAGGGTGTTTCATACGTCGTATTAAAATGACGTAGGTGTCAAAAGTAAGTACATTGTATGTGAAATGGTGAAAACCGTGGTACAATATATCATCTCATAGTGGAAGCTTTCGCGTCCGGTTTACATGACGCAACGTCCTTCTTATTTAATGTTTATAAAAATGAAATTTCGTGTGTTGCTTTCTTTTGCTGTTGTAGTATGTGTTCTCATTATAAACAGCTAATAATAACTTTCTCCATGTCTGTGAGTGATTAAGGAGTACCCCAAAACACATCCGCATCACGAGCCCTGGTCCTCACTACTTACTAAATATGACACTTTGTGTAGCACGGTACATACCATTCAAACAATAAAGGTAAAAAATTATCCGATTTGACTGACAGGTGCTTTTCATAACAACTCTCCTTTGTCTGAGACCGGGGAAAGTACCTGGCCAGTAAGGTAATAAGGTTGTCTTCCCTCCGATACAAACCAGGCATTCTGGTAAAGTTATAGATTTAAGGTGATATCTAGGTCTATGTAAGGTACATTGTATATATTAGTTTCGTCCAGTAACAGGTTGAAATATAATAAAATAAATAATGTTTCTTTTATTTATTTTTGATTTAAGGATTACGTAAACGGGATACTTGAAGATGAATCAAACACCGTCGGATTACTGAAACTGCCAATATGGAATGATATAGGAGCACGGTGTAGAGCGACAGTAGACAGTACAGTGTATGGAATCATATTTCAAGGAGAGGGAGGTTTTGGGTTAGAGGAAAACCGGAGTACCCGGAGAAAATCACCGGCCTGCAGCAAGTGCCTGGCGACTGTCCCATGACGGGCCTCGAATCCGCGTCCCAGTTATAGAGCGTAGTGTTCGTAGACGGCCAAACGCCTTCACCACTCGGCCAACGCGGCCCCTAGGAGAGGAAAGACCGAACGAATTAGCATTTGAGATAGTCAATGAGGCGAAAACGTGTATGCTATATATCCTTCTAATATAGCGTTTCATTTTATGATATTTTAGTATCATAACACAAGAACACAATTTTGTTGTAAGTTTCATTGAAACTGATTTTCTTTCTCATCTAATACCGACAGTGTTAGGATCGTAGGTATTTTTGCTAAGGGGACAAAACTCCGTCAACTTCGAATCCATGACTGCTTCGTTATGTGACAGAATGTACAATAAAAACTGGGATTACGGGCGGTATTCAAACCACATGTGTATTCATGTGGTTAAATGTCCGGTTGTAACAGTAGAAATTCAATACTTATATATGAATCCCAGAGATACCGCATCATGTGACACAAATGTTTTAGGTAGATCTATCCCGCTACCCACAAAAAATAAAATGAAATAAATAAATAAAAACAACCCCTATTCTCCTCGTTTGTTTTGTCTCCCTGTAAATCTTTAGTTTTATCGATTTTGAGTCCGAATTCTGGTTTTGTTGCCGACAATTCGATATTCTCCTGTTGCTGTTTGTCTTATGGGCTGCCCCGAAATAAAACATATATAATTATTTTCCCGCTCTATGTTGAAGGTCCAAAAAATGTCCGTCTTTTTGTGGCTGCTTCTGGGATAAATAACTGACTGCTTTCCTTGTTTACTTTTTGGCTCAATAGATAAATAAAACAATACCCTCTAGCAGGAGATGGACTTTTACACTTTAATAAAATATTTGGACATTGCTCATTGGTAAAAATGGCGATTATTAAAATTTCTTGGCCTTAGTGAATAATATTTTATGAGCGGACATACACTCAAAGCAGGTGCAACCATTTCTTGGAATAATAAAGGGCAATTTCCTTTAAAAAATATGTATACCTCCTTAATCTTCTGCTTCGGCCTATCCGGAAGTTTCTAGCATTCCCATATACGTCCGTCCTACGGTTTCCATAGTACTTAACCTACACCGTTTCATACAAGCTCATGTAACTTTTCATGAGGGTATATTTAGAAAATTGAGTGCTATGTTACAAAAGTGGGTAACTGTAATTATATTCTTTTTGACCTCTGACCTCTTTTTTAATCACGATAATTTATGTTCTGCTTATTTCGCTACGTTGTATCACTTTTCCATGNACGGCCTCCCCTGTGTGCAAGATGCATGCGTGTAGTGTATGTGTGTGTTTTTTGGGAGGCTGCGATATGTTCGTGTTTGTCTCCTTGTGATAGCGCGGAACTGATGCCGGCTTTATAGTGCTACCTCACTGAAAAATACTGCCGAAGACACCCAGCAGGACGCCCCACCCGGTCACATTATACTGACAACGGGTGAACCAGTCGTCCCACTCCATGTAAGACTGTTAAAGTTAATATGTGTATTCATGTAGGGGCAACGGAACATGCGCAATCATTAGATCAAAGCCACAAATCTTCTTCTTCTTTTAAATCAAGGATTTTAATTTCTAGAGCAATTTCATGTATGGTAATCAATTGACATTAAACAGCTTTATCTCAGTTGATTGGTTTGATAAATCATTAAGAGATATGACTTCAAACTCATTTTAATAAAAATAAGATAAAAAAAGAGTAGATAAGGTTTTGTAAAACACTAAGGAACTTATCTGGACTGAAGCCCCAATGTAACTTTCGTCGACGTAAACAAAAGTTTAAACAAGAGTTAAATATTTAATCTAAAAAAAACAACTTTTTTTTGAGTTTGGTATTATGAGAATGCACAACTTCAAGGTAGATATATACTACATTTGACTCTCCTTATTTTTTTTTATTGAATACATTTTTATTAAAGCTACATTTCTACATTGTAAGAAATCTTTAATGTGTTCATAACGTATTGAGAATGATTTCGATGAATTGATCTTATTCAAATTGCCATGGGTAATTAGTTATAACGAGAAAACTCAATCGTTGAAAGCCAAATATAGATGCTTAAAAAAAATAACGCATTGCGAAAATACTACTACTGAAAAATGTACGTAATTCATTTCAGCGAATATCGGGCTTGAAAAATGAAATTGTCGTTTTAAATCTGATACACCTATTATCTCGAGTTAGTACTTAATGCAAAAAATCATGATGATGATAAAGAATAATTTGATGGAAAATAACCATGCAACTATAAAGTGATTTAATATATTTATTACATTATAAGTAAATTACATCGTCTATCTCAAGTGTTTGACACAATAGACAACATCAGAAAATCTATTAAATAAGTAATTTATACAAATAGCTACAGTATCACAAGAGCCAAATTTGATATAATAGTTACCCTAATATCAAATATTTTTTCCTGATACGTAATTCCTGGTAGGTAATTCCTGCCACTTAACATGAAAATGGATAGATCACAAAATATTAATGATCCCAAGTACTTCATAACTTAAAGAATTGAGGTAGTACTTGAGTTATACATTTAGTTAATGAAGACCATTATCAGTCAAACAGCGTACAGATCACAACATGGAGGAAACCCGTTTCTGAGAGTTCAATAAAGATTTTACGACACGCGACAGTAACTGAAGGTATTTGTCTCACTCAGAATTGAGTAGATTAAATGTTACCATGGTTAACCTTTGTGACATTAACATATCACACGAGAGTGAGATAAAAATGATAAAAAATAACTGAAATGAGTCGAAATGACTGACCTCGACAATAGCTATATCAATAGCTTTCAATATTTACCATTTACTAGTTATAATATAACTATAACAATAGCTAACCATACAATACGTATTTTTACAACAACTAATAATTCCATAGCTACATATAACAATAACAGGAATTAGATGTACAAATATAGTTCATTAGCTAGTTATAATTTAACTATAACAATAGCTTACCATACTATTACCATTTTTACAATAACTAATAATGCTGTAGCTACAAGTAACTACAACAGTAGTGGTACACTTATCTATCATTAGCTAGTTATAATTTAACTATAACAATAGCTTACAATGCTATAACTATTTTTTACAATAGCCAATAATGCTAACTAATAACACTAAAACTACAGGTGTCTATAACAAGAACTAGTTATACAATTATCATTCATAAGCTAGTTGTAACATAACTTTAACAATACTGACAATGATATACCTTACTTCGACAATAGCGAATTATGCCATAACTAACAATAACAAGATCAAATTATTGTATAACTAACAATAATAAGATCTAGTTATGATATATCTGTAACATTAACCTAATGTTACGTTAAATTATCGCCATGTTATTCAGGGTGCATTGCAAATTAATAAAAAAAATCCATATTCTATACAAAAACTATACAAAGCATCGATAATTTCATAAAACAATCAATGACATAAAAAAAAAATCATCTGGTTTTTTTTCCAATTCTACTTCAACCACTACTACTGCCTGTAATGATTGAAGAAAAAATCAAAAAATCATTCTTTAACTATGTTATGTTCCTACATAAAAACAGCTGCTATAAACTTAAACTACATTTCCCGATAAACGTTACAATGGATATGAAGTATTGATGATAAGGTGAGGTAAAATGATGAACAGAATGACCAAATTGTAAGTTACATTTTTTTGCGGTCGAGAAATCAACATCCATGTTAATGTATCTCCGTAAAGTTAAAAGTTATGCCAGCTAGGTTGACACCATTCAAGGATCCCTGTACCACTGCCAAAAGTAAAACTTTACATTGAAATCAATTCCCCAGCATCATTATAGCTTTGATAATCTTTTCTGAAAATATTTTTTTTAAATTGCGGGGTATTTATTTATAACAAATAGAAAAAACAGCAGTTTTCTGAGAGTAAAATAACAACGAAGCCTGATTAGGATTCGAACACTGGACCTCAGTTCATTATACTGTCGCTCTCACCAACTGCGCTACCTGATCAACGGAAGTAACCTGGCCGAGATTACAGTTATATCGAAAATATAATTAAGGTGAGGTTACTGTGTGTACGACAGTGGCGGTGGGACAGAGGTCCTTAATTTGGATTTCCAATGTTTTTAATTTTAAATTGAAAGTATCATTCATTAGAAACGAACAACTCATCAGTAATCAGGCGTTGGTTCACGGTATGTTGAGCGACGGAATGAACGATTTTCTGGTTCAAGAAATGATACGCTTAATGGATTAGTAAGTTCATGTGGTGCAGGTGGCCGGCTGGATGCTCTTGGTGAAACTGGATTATCTGCAGGTTCATAGTCTGAGAAATTTGATGAACTATCACTGTTTGCCCTGCAATTTCTCCTAGAAAAAAACACAATCCCGCCATTTATGATTACAGAAGTATGAAAGGTTTACATGCACATTACTATACCGCTCACACCTCCATTTAAGTTAGCGTATCTGTTGTTAGTGTTGAAGTACTGGCAATGTTATACATAACAAATTATGATATGGTCTATATATTTTTACATTAAGATGATTGATCCCTGTTATGTAATTATATGTTTTTATACTGTGTAACTATATACTTGTACGATGTAATTGTGATATATGACACTATAATAAACAAAATTGACTTGACTTGACTATAAATTTATAAATTTTCTTTAACATTTGTTTTCACGTAGCATTTACGCAATTCTTGTATTACAAAATGCCATTACATTTCATACAATAAACTCATAACATACTTGGATAACAACATTCATACAGGTCAAATGTAGACATACTATTTTAATTGCATTATACAATTTTGAGTTAAATAAATGTAAGGAATAAAAAAAAAATATCTTTAGTGATTATATACATGTAACGAAGTTGTTATTTTGAAATAAACCTGAAGAGCCCTGTGAAGGGTCAAAGCAGCTAGTTTTTTGGTCGGTCGTTAAATCTTATTTTTTCTATATTTACGTATTTCACATGGACATTTAATCCTTTTTAATCATGTATATATATATATATATATATATATCCATTTAGATTATGAAAGACATTGTTTTAACGATCAGTTTTAGTGACCTACTAAATGAATCTAATGTGACCATCGATACAGTTTGTGCTGTCGTTACTAGTAACGCGGTTTTTCTGAGTATTGAAAGCTTACTGAAGTTACTTACCGTTGCGCTGTATGCTGATAAAAATCTTGGAACCCATTTACACTGCCTTCTATGCTACGGTTGGTGCGGGTCTAAAACACATAACAATAAATTGCAGTTACTGAAATATACAGCACACTGGACACCACTTCATTTGTCATATCTGTTGATGTTATTTTAATACAGTCACCCTGGTACATTAACGAAGATACTTTACGTTAGGGAGGCGAGATGGATAATTTATCTGATTTGAAAATAACTTCAGAAGATTTTCTTATGAATTCTTTCTTAAATACGGTATTGTTGGTTCCTTCATAATTTTATATTTTATTTCATCAAAACACATATAAAGTGAGACCGAAACAACAATAAAGTTAATAACATTTGGACAATACATTTATATCAATTTGTGTTCGCCGTGACCTTGCATTTTGGTCAAGGTAATTAATTAGAGTAAACCGGATAACCCTTCATCCGGGTAAGGTACAGGCTAAATACTATTACTAAAGGTCTCGTAAATGCTTAGAAGAGGAAGCTGTTTAAAGTTTTTTTAACTCATATAAAGACTGAGTTAAAGACATTCATTTGATGAATTTTGGTAGCTATCTATCTCAAAAACGACAAATGAAAATACTTTAAATTTCAAGAAGTCATGAAAAGAGATGAGGCTTGGCTTATCTGCATTCCTTGTGGCCAATAACAATTTCAAAGCAGTCCAAAAACTAACAACTGGCAATGAGATCGTCATTTAAACAATTTCATGTTTATTTGTTAAAATTTGGGAGTAACTCGGGAATGTCTCCCTATGAACTCCCAACTCTCTGTGATAAATTGTCGCACTATTCCTTTGCTTTTTACAGCTTTTTATTCCATTTTCCAGAAATACTACATGTTAAAGAGGTTAGTATCTATCCATTTTAACTTAAGGAGAGCATTTTACAAATAAAAAAAAAAAAACATTTCCAATATTGGACATAATACTTCTGTCCTAACTAGTTAACATAAATTTGTTTTCATTGTAAACAACAATTAATTTCTTTGGTCAAATAACTCTTCATCTGATCTTAAGTTATCAAAGATTTAAAACCATTTCCACTTTTTGGCACCGTGCATCTGGCCTCAAGAAGCACTCCCTGATTTATACTAAATTGAAAGACAATGTCCCAGAGAAGGGTTTTGGCCATATAACATCGAAATTTCTTTTAGAATTAGAGATTAACCATGCTTTCGTTTAAATCAGGTCAATGTCCTTTCATCCCTACTAAAGGAGTAGTCTTTTAGAGATGATCCCCAATTTTCCTTTTAAAGCTGTCCCTTTTCCTAGAAATTAAGATACTCTTCAGCTATAAAAGTTCACACACCGGAATAACCTCTCCTGAAAGTTTAATTATATTGCTATTCATCTGTCAAATATCACGTAAACATTTATGTAAACCTTTTTAAATACATAAATGTGTGATTTTAAATCTGTCAACATCAACTTTTTTAACAAATGTTTTTCAGTCATTTTACCAAACTGTCTTATACAATTAAACCCAAAAACTGAAAACAAATACCACACAGGGTGATTAAAGTTACTTAAAGAGGTTATGTTCCTCTGAAAGCAGGTTTAACATATGCTCAGTGTTTAATAGGCAAATGGGATTTTTTTTGCAACCGGTGAAGTATCTTTCCAGTATGTTGAAACAAGAAAAATAATAATGTGTTTTTGCGAGATTTATAGTAAAAACATAACTTTTTTTCTTCAAAGAGCAGAAGATCGTCAACATTCAACTAAAACAGAAGGTTATATTTAAGTTTTGGTAAATAAAATGGTCCAGTTGCGTATTCTTTTATAAGAAATAAGAAAGCAACAATAATATACTTTAATGAAAGTTGATGTCTGATCAATGTAAAAGAGTGAAAAAAGGAACGTCTGTCATCATCAGATAACTGCTACTATAAGATGCGTATCTAGAACGGCTAGTATTACCTTCTCTACAAACAACCAAATAGATAATAGGGCATTAGTGCACAAGAGCGACATTAAGGTCCAAAGCACATTACAAAGCTCTGTGTTACCTGTACAGCGAGATATTAGTTCAACAATCATACACATGAATTATTACTTTCCATTTTGCTTCCACATTTGTAAGGACATAATGTCAAGATATACATCTCATAAGTACGAAACGGGGTTAGATAGTGTCACCAGACAGGTAGATCAGCAGTAAGAGTGTCACCAGACAGGTAGATCAACAGGTAAGAGTGTCCCCAGACAGGTAAGAGTGTCCCCAGACAGCTGAAATCAACAGGTAATAGTGTCCCCAGACAGGTAGATCAACAGGTAAGAGTGTCCCCAGACAGATATACCAGCAGGTAAGAGGGTCCCCAGACAGCTGAAATCAACAGGTAAGAGTGTCCCAAGACAGGTAGATCAACAGGTAAGAGTGTCCTCAGACAGCTGAGATCAACAGGTAAGAGTGTCACCAGACAGGTAGATCAAAGGTAAGAGTGTCCCCAGACAGGTAGATCAGCAGGTAAGAGTGTCCCCATGAACATAAACCAGCAGGTAAGAGTGTCACCAGACAACTGAAATCAACAGGTAAGAGTGTCTCCAGACAGCTGATGTCAACAGGTAAGAGTTTCCCCAGACAGCTGATATCAACAGGTAAGACTGTCCCCAGACAGGTAGATCAGCAGGTAAGAGTGTCCCCATGAACATAAACCAGCAGGTAAGAGTGTCACCAGACAACTGAAATCAACAGGTAAGAGTGTCCCCAGTCAGTTAGAACAACAGGTAAGAGTGTCCCCAGACAGCTGAAATGAACAGGTAATAGTGTCCCCAGACAGGTAGATAAACAGGTAAGAGTGTCCCCAGACAGCTGAGATCTACAGCTAAGAGTGTCCCCAGACAGATAAACCAGCAGGCAAGAGTGTCCCCAGACAGCTGAAATCAACAGGAAATAGTGTCCCCAGACAGGTAGATCAACAGGAAAGAGTGTCCCCAGACAGCTGATATCAACACGTAAGAGTGTCCCCAGACAGATATACCAGCAGGTAAGAGGGTCCCCAGACAGCTGAAATCAACAGGTAAGAGTGTCCCAACACAGGTAGATCAACAGGTAAGAGTGTCACCATACAGATATCCCAGCAGGTAAGAGTGTCCCCAGACAGCTGAAATCAACAGGAAATAGTGTCCCCAGACAGGTAGATCAACAGGTAATAGTGTCCCCAGACAGCTGATATCAACAGGTAAGAGGGTCCCCAGACAGGTAGATCAGCAGGTAAGAGTGTCACCATGAACATAAACCAGCAGGCAAGAGTGTCACCAGACAGCTGAAATCAACAGGTAAGAGTGTCCCCAGTCAGTTAGAACAACAGGTAAGAGTGTCCCCAGACAGCTGAGATCAACAGGAAAGAGTGTCCCCAGACAGCTGATATCAACAGGTAAGAGGGTCCCCAGACAGGTAGATCAGCAGGTAAGAGTGTCACCATGAACATAAACCAGCAGGCAAGAGTGTCACCAGACAGCTGAAATCAACAGGGAAGAGTGTCCCCAGACAGTTAGATCAACAGGTTAGAGTGTCACCACACAGGTAGAGCAACAGGTAAGAGTGTCCCCAGACAGCTGAGATCAACCGGTAAGAGTGTCCTCAGACAGGTAGATCAACAGGTAAGAGTGTCACCAGACAGCTGAGATCAACAGGTAAGAGTGTCACCAGACAGGTCAGGTAAGAGTGTCCCCAGACAGCTGAAATCAACAGGTAATAGTGTCCCCAGACAGGTAGATAAACAGGTAAGAGTGTCCCCAGACAGCTGATACCAACAGGTAAGAGTGTCCCCAGACAGGTAGAGCAGCAGGTAAGAGTGTCACCATGAACATAAACCAGCAGGCAAGAGTGTCACCAGACAGCTGAAATCAACAGGAAAGAGTGTCCCCAGACAGATAAACCAGCAGGCAAGAGTGTCCCCAGACAGCTGAAATCAACAGGAAATAGTGTCCCCAGACAGGTAGATCAACAGGAAAGAGTGTCCCCAGACAGCTGATATCAACAGGTAAGACTGTCCCCAGACAGGTAGATCAGCAGGTAAGAGTGTCACCATGAACATAAACCAGCAGGTAAGAGTGTCACCAGACAGCTGAAATCAACAGGTAAGAGTGTCCCCAGACAGTTAGATCAACAGGTTAGAGTGTCACCAGACAGGTAGATCAACAGGTAAGAGTGTCCCCAGACAGTTAGATCAACAGGTAAGAGTGTCACCATACAGATATACCAGCAGGTAAGAGTGTCCACAGACAGCTGAAATCAACAGGTAAGAGTTTCCCCAAACAGCTGAGACCAACAGGTAAGAGTGTCACCAGACAGGTAGATCAACAGGTAAGAGTGTCCCCAGACAGGTAGATCAACAGGTAAGAGTGTCACAAGGCAAATAGATCTATAGGTAAGAGTGTCACCAGACAGGTATATCAACAGGTAAGAGTGTCACAAGGCAAATAGATCAATAGGTAAGAGTGTCACCAGACAGGTATATCAACAGGTAAGAGTGTCACCAGACAGGTATATCAACAGGTAAGAGTGTCACCAGACAGGTAGATCAACAGGAAAGTGTGTCACCAGACAGGTAGATCAACAGGTAAGAGTGTCACCAGACAGGTAAATCAACAGGTAAGAGTGTCACGAGACAGGTAGATCATCAGGTTAGAGTGTCACCAGGCAGATAGATCATCAGGTTAGAGTGTCACCAGGCAGGTAGTTCAACAGGTAAGAGTGTCACCAGACAGGTAGATCAACAGGTAAGAGTGTCATCAGACAGGTAGATCAACAGGTAAGAGTGTCACCGGACAGGTAGATCAGTAGGTTACAGTGTCACCAGACAAGATTTCCCTGCTTTTGTTGTTAGACTGTATATGAAATTTGAAATCGTGAGGAACATTATCTAACATTGTTAGGAAACCACAGAACAAATGGAATCAGTTGAAGAAGGTGTTGGTCAGTGTTCTCCTCCTTTTATCATAGAAAGTTAGTTTTTCAATAAACTAAGAGGGCATGTTGAGCATTACAGAAAAACAACAAAACAACCATCAGTCAGATTCCAAAAGAAAAAAAGATGCTATCATCAACAATTGGTTTTATATAAATCAGGGTCAATGTGAAGAGGCAGTATAGGAGTATAGGACAGAACACCTACGAACAGACCCAACCTGGTGATAATGTAAGTAATACAGCATCGACAGCAAGACAGAACCTCAGCAGCAAGCAAACCTAAGTATTAGTTAACCATCGTTACCTGACCACTCTGGTCATCTCCCAAACTGTCCATGGAGCGGTAAATTGAGAAGGGTTGTCCAGCCGACTAACACAATAAAATAATAATAATAATAATAATAAAAGAATGCAGAAAAATAGAATAAAAAGGAATTTTAACTTGCTAATTATTTGGAGATAACATGGAGAAAATCGCATTTGTATCAGATTAGATCTAGTTTGATGTGAACAATTTATCTTACATTTGATTCGTTTATCTGAACGACTGAGACTGTTTTTATAGAATAATTAAGAAAGGGGAACACAATTCATTTCTGTTGAATCAAATATACACAGACATCTATATGTTTTCCTGAGAGGGAAATAGATAAATGATTTTCACGTTTAATATCTTATAGTGTATACGTATGAAAGTGAATGTTTTATTATTTAGAAAAAAAATTGTTGACCTTTATTTCAATTTGTTTGACCCTAAAGATAATATATGTTTAAATTATAGAGAAGTATTTTGTTGTTCAGAGTATTTAATCTACTTCAGTGCTTTTGTGCAAAATTATTCGTATTAGTTGTATTTGAAATTAAAATGTGTGCGAAATTTACATTACATCACAAATAATTAGTAGACTCTTTTAAAGAAAAATGCTGAACAATATTATCAAATTACCGAGTTGGTAAACTGAGAAATACACATTAAACTCACCTAAAAGGCAGTTAAATGAAAATATGAAAGTTTCATGGATATCCTTTAGGTTATGATTAAATACATACCGGTACTGTGTTTCCTGGAAACGTTCCACTGGGTAAAGAGAAATGAGCGTAGTCACCATCATCGTGTACCATGGATCTATCAAGATTGGCTGTATAAATACTTTGTTTCCTTGCATATGCCTCTGGACCCTGTGGGTACTTATAGCTGTGTCGCAATCTGAAAATATTTAAACAATGGCAATACTTCCCAGAAGTGAAGGCAATATCTTAATACAACATTGTATATCTGATTTCTCTCCGTATATCCTACCGACTTTTAAACATAAAGTGTTATTCTCTTCACGTTTTTGGCCTTTCAAAGATTAAAAACTCTAACCTTATGATTTATAAATGTAGTGTATAACATTATTGAATTTAATTTCAGACGGATCAGATTAACACTGATTCATGAGGATGAAGTACAAAGTCAGTTATGGGCTTAGGACATTAAGTCAGTTATTTAAAAAAAAAATAAAAAAAAAATGTCACCTTCTGCCACTTTACAAGACGTGGTATTTATGCCAAAGCTTGGGACAATAGCTGTCACCCACTGTACTATACAAAACATTGTCGACTTAGTCAGGGATGAAATAAAAACAAACAGCTGTACTAGACATGTTGACTAAATCAGAGATTAACTGAATGTAGATAACATTTATAAGCAAATGACTCAGTCCGATGTACCCAGTTTCGTTTTTTAAAAAAGGTAATGTTTAACCTGGGGTCTTATACATGAATCTGGAAAACCAGAAGGATAATTATTAAAGGGGAAAAAAACTATTTGTTTTGGGAAAATACAATGGTATAACTTACTTAATGAAATAGAAGATAAGGACCAATAAAACAGTAAAACAGACTCCTAGAACGGCAGCTAGGACCGTCATCGCTGTAAACCATTTGTCCTCAGTGCCGACGACTGCATTGCTACATTCAATGGCGTTCCCTGTGAGGTAGATCTCCACAGAACAGTACCTGAAACATGAATTATCATGTTCTGTATTTAAACCACTCAAGTAATAGTTGAGATAAATCCACGTTTTGAATTATCATTTTTCCTTAAAAGTGGGATCAAAACTACATTATAAATTCATCAAAGTTGCCTTATTCCTAAGGTGACTTTTGTCTGGTCAGTCAAAAATAACTGGTCATTCCCAGACTTCGTGAAAGGTTAGAGTAACGTTAATATTAACGTGCCCATATCTTTCCCTGATCTGACCCCTTACCCTCGTTTCGGCATGATTCCTCCATCCTCAGCTTGGATCGTAAGATTAACTAGGTCTGCGGCGATGTCGATGACAAAGGCAACAGAAAGGTGCCCAGTCATTGAATTAATGCTGAAAATATCCTGTAATGGATTTTGTTCAAAATTAATACGATCAATTCAATACAACATTTATCTACAAGATACATATTTTCATTGCTATAAGGTAATTCAAAAATACTAATGATGCTTTTATCATTGAACGAATACAATTTGTAGCAATCAAAGGTCATGAACTTATTGAAATATAAAAAAAAACTGAGTAAACTACAGCCTGCTTAGACATATCATCTATTCTTTTTTCTATGATAAGCTTATTAAACATTTAATACCACTTACTAGATATATTGTAATATGAATAATAAAATAGTATATGTTTATTAAGAGAATAAATGTTCAACTTGCTTTCGGAAATATCGAAATACAACAATTATCAAATCAATGTCGAGAGTAGAATAATGATGTCATGTTATCAAAGCATCAAATCGTGTTAACATATCAGTATTTCGTTCTTAATTATTCAATCAATCAAACTTAATAATTAAATATCAGTCGAGCTGTGTGTTACAACATTTAACTACAAATTTAGGATTTGTTTGATAAACAGTATTATTATACGACTTGCAAATCTTCAGCAGTCTGAAAGGCTGAAATCAGCTAGACTATATAGACCTCGGGATAAATGGAGATTAATATACCATTAGCATGTGAACGTAAAAAATGCGAACGTAGTTTTCTTATTAATTTCAACTTCAAAATAACATTCAGAGTTTAAGTTTTATATATTATTGCAGTTAGGTTAACTTATACAGACTATCATCGTCTTTATGTTGAAATAATCTAAATATTTTGAACCTTAACAAACGTTATATGTCCTGATAGATTCGGACAGAATTTCTGGTATTTAATAAGTTTTGAGGTAGATATAATGATATATCAACCCGAGGTAGATTATATTTCCCCGACATCAATATCTAAGACACATACCCTGGTATTGCCGGCTGCTATGCTGTAGCTAACACGTCCGTCTGCGCCGGTGTCGAGATCAGTAGCAGTGACGTTGATGTCCAAATCTGTTCCTATATTGGACGACTTGGGTAATGATATACGATATAATTCTGCAATGACACAAAACAAATAAAATGAATTCAAAGTTACAAAGTTTAACTCATTGCTACATGTAATAACTAGTTAAACAAAACTGGATCGCTAAAGGTAAGTTGTTTACAGTTAAACTCAGTACTCAGAATAACTTGTGGTTTTTTTCTAGGTGTATCAATAATCGCCAAAAGACAGCATATTAACGTACAATGGACAAGGTTACCTACCATGGGCAAATTTCGGATGATATCCGTTCGGATCCAAGTAGTCCACTTGTACAATTACTTTGGTCTCTGTGACTTTCAGACTATCTTTGGAATCTTCAGCTCTCACAACAAGCTTGAGTAGAAAGAAAATAATATTTTCATTCCTGCCTGAAATGGTTTGTTTATGGGTTTTAACATTTGCTTGTATCCAATTTTACCTTATTTGTAAAGACTGAGGCCAAAGTGTGTTTTAGGTATGTTTTATTTCTATGTTATCATATTTTTCACACAATGCTCGCTGTCTAATCAATAGCTCGTACAATTATCTGTTTAGGTTAACCGCTATTGGAAAGTCATGATAGCCGTGTTACATTGTGTGACTATGTTGTAGCTATCCCAAAGGTCCCGTTATCTGGCAGAGCTGCGTTACATAACATATTGTCAGCAACCATGTCAACAACAGGTGCTTTCCGAGCACAATTAGAAATTTGTTTTATAAGATTTCATGAATTATCACAAGACAATTCCGAGACATAACACATTACTCAGGCTCAATATATCATTTACGAGTATATTCGCTTTGTATTTAAAACAGCGTTATGATGACATATGAACATGACCATACGCTATAACGTATGTATCAAATGGAAGGGCGCTTGAGAAACAACATCACGATAACACACTTCAGACTTTGGTAGATGATGTACTTTTGTCATTTTTGTTCAAAATTACCCAAATGATAAAATGCTTTGACGAGATTACTTTATTTTTCGACTTTGACTTACACACAATGTCATAAAGCTCAAATGTATTGATTGGCTATCTTGTGACATCCAATACAATTGTACTGTTGAGGTGAAAGAAAAAATGTCAAACTCTCAACTGATAAGTTCTTAAATGACCAACGAATAGATGGATATTTTAATACATATCTATATAAATGTATAGTCGAATATGTACCAAAATGACTTTATGTACCAAACTGACCATACATTTGAAATAACCTGGTATGGTTATTATCATTGTTATAAAAAAAATGCGATAAATAATTGATAATCTTCTGTATGAAAAAAACCTTCTAAACTAATGCTGACAACTTGGAATAAAAAAAAAAAAATTGGGGATAAGACAGCTGAAGAATAAAGTCAAGAAATCTCTTATAACAGGAAATAGTTTTTTTCTCTGACGAGTGCAAAAGCGATTGAACACGGAACCTCTCCCCTAATACAGGTGTTTATGACTACTTGTAATGTCTGTGATACCCACCTCTATGTAGAAGTTTCTTGAAGCATTGATGTCGAGAGAGGCGATTGTGGTGATGGTGCCGTTTGTGGTGGAGATGCTGACGGGCATGGTGTTAAAAAGGTCAGCGAGGTCGTTCATGAACGGGGACCAAGAGTAGCGCGCGCCCCTCAGGGAATACACGGGGATAGCATTCTCCCCCGCATCTGCATCCTCGGCAATCACAGTCCCCACAGTTGAACCAACCGGGACCACCTAAAGATAGTAAATAAGAATACAAATAAGCATTTCAATGATATCGTCTTTCATGTCGGGATACTTTGGTTTTCAACGAAAATATTATTTATCTGGTCGATGAAATTCTATTGGTAAAACAAAGCTATGAATAAAGAATATCATTTTTAACTGCACAATGTAATGGAAGTTCTCTACTTGCATTGATTTTGTGCTTACTTTATTTCGAAATCTTGCCCTGCTGTTCCTCTTTGCGAGGACTTAACCTCATGTTAAAGTTAACGTATCCAGCTTTTGTTCTCTTTAATTGTTTTGTTCGGGACATCTGTAACTGATGGTTTACTGAGGAGGATAATAGTAATTAGGTCCTAAGTTTAAGCTCCTGTACTGCACTAATGGAAACAATATCAAGTAGCTTCTAAACACTCGTGATAGAATTTGTATCATGTTTATGTAAGATCTTCAGTTATAATGTCAGAAGTATATAAGGAGATAATAATTAAAACTGCAAGGCACTGTCTTATACCCATGTGTCATAAAATATATAAATGAAAATATATTGCAGAATTGACAAATAACTTTGCGTATTGATAGTTTACAAAGTCATTTAAATCTATGCAGTACATTAAAAGACAAAATGGCTGAAGTTATATATGTGTCTCACCTGTAAGAGTATAAACCTGTAGTCTCCGTCCCTAATGTCTGTAAACACTGGACTGTGGTCATTGATGTCCAGTATGGTGATATTCAGACGGAGGGGAAGGGAGTCCTTGCCACCAGGATCTGTAGCTATCACGTTAAGAGTGACCTCTGCTGTTTTCTCTCTGTCTATGTCCGTTCCTTGGATCACACTGATTTTACCAGTGGTGTTGTTAATTTCAAATATATCTACAAACATGTAAGATATGTTAATATCACACAAGTTTGGTTTTCCCAGTTTTTGCGAGTTTGCAAGAAATATATCGCCAATTTTCATAGTTCTTATTTCATTAATTATCAGAGAAGATATAAACGAAATATCCTCTATACGTCACTACAAGTGTTAGCATATCTTTTCCTGCAAACGACATTGTCTATTCATGAGGCCGACCAGTTACAAATATATACCACGCTTTCATAAATATTTTGACAAAGACAAGTTAAATTGTCATACCAGACCCAACCCTGAAATACAAACGGTTCATCAAAACACGGTTTATATGTTTGTTAGTATGTGCAACAAGACTCTCCTTGATCAAAGTCCTCCAATCTCTTTGGGTAAAAAAAATACAAAAAGTACATAAGGAAATATTTTAATACACTTAATATAAAACTGAACAAATTGATTTCAACTAATGAACAGTATGATACATGTCACCAACCTGAGGGATTCTTGAATCTATAAATACACTGGCACAGCTCAGGACCCTTTCGACCTTCACGGTCGGTTGCTAAAGCGGTGAAGACAGGGTTGACTACACTGGAGTGTTCTGTTAGCTGTAATGTTGCCTCAGGGTCATCAAAAACTGGCCTTATGTTGTCATCTGTTATTAATATGCTCACCTGAAATTACAGATTAAGAAATAAAACCGATTTAAAGAGTTACTGAAAGGAAACTTCATCATGGCATTTGTGATAAGCCAAATTTTTAAGCATTAACATATCTTATAAAGATCACGAAGTCATGACAGAAGAGGCACACTGGTCATAATCGTTTTAACTTAGTCAATTAGATTTTTATGGTGTTAAAAATTTCACGCATATACGGTAAATATTATGACTTTGGTAAAATGGCTGTAGCAAAAAGCTGTGGAAGCACTTGATAGATTATCTAACGTTATTGAAGCTAATAGAGGAGAAAAAGGATCCTAACAGATTACCTAATGTGGCTGTTACAGAGAGCTGAATAAACATCCTAACCGATTACCTACCGTGGCTGTAACAGAGAGCTGAAGAAGCATCGTAACAGATTACCTACCGTGGCTGTAACAGAGAGCTGAAGAAGCATCCTAACCGATTACCTAGCGTGGCTGTAACAGAGAGCTGAATGAGCACTCTAACAGATTACCTACCGTGGCAGTAACAGAGAGCTGAAGAAGCATCCTAACCGATTACCTAGCGTGGCTGTAACAGAGAGCTGAATGAGCACTCTTACAGATTACCTACCGTGGCAGTAACAGAGAGCTGAAGAAGCATCCTAACCGATTACCTAGCGTGGCTGTAACAGAGAGCTGAATGAGCACTCTTACAGATTAACTACCGTGGCAGTAACAGAGAGCTGAAGAAGCATCGTAACCGATTACCTAGCGTGGCAGTAACAGAGAGCTGAAGAAGCATCGTAACCGATTACCTACCGTGCTTGTAACAGAGAGCTGAAGAAGCATCCTAACCGATTACCTAGCGTGGCTGTAACAGAGAGCTGAATGAGCACTCTTACAGATTACCTACCGTGGCAGTAACAGAGAGCTGAAGAAGCATCCTAACCGATTACCTAGCGTGGCTGTAACAGAGAGCTGAATGAGCACTCTTACAGATTACCTACCGTGGCTGTAACATAGCGCAGGAGAAGCATCCTAACCGATTACCTAGCGTGGCTGTAACGGAGAGCTGAAGAAGTATCCTAACAGATTACCTACCGTGGCTGTAACGGAGAGCTGAAGAAGCATCCTAACCGATTACCTAGCTTGGCTGTAACAGAGCTGAAGAAGCATCGAAACAAATTATCTAGCGTGGCTGTAACAGAGAGCTGAAGAAGCATCGTAACAGATT